TCAGAGGTTTAGTCCATTATTATGGTAGAGAGCATGGAGGTAGGCAGGCAGGCATGGTGCTAGAGAAGTAGTTGAGAGCTACATCCTTCTCCAGATAGAAAGAGAAAGCCACACTGGGCCTCCTAGTTCTTAAATAGTGCCACTCCCTGGTGACTAAGCATTTAAGTATATGAGCCTATGGAGGCCATTCTTACACAACCACAAGCTAGAATTTTTCTTTGTCTCATAATCCTAATTTATATATAAAGATAGATAGATTAAATAAATTGTGTGGAATTGCCTGATGGAACCTGACACTCAAAGCCAGATCTGCCTGACCTGACTTATATAGATTATTATATTTTTGCCTTTCTTCCTCCAGTGGCTTAAACATTTTTATTTGGTTAATTCCTTTAAACTGGCAAATGTGAAAGAAACACTATTTTTCTTCGTAGGAGGAGATAAGTGATACAGATTTGAATTTGAAAGCTCTTCAGAATGAAGAGGATGATGATCCATTGATGATTCTAAAAACAATCTTATTGCAGGTAGAGTGGGTCTTTGTACATATTTGTGTGCATGTAAATATTATAGATACATGTGTGTGCTGTTTGTGTATGTGGTGTGTTTATATGAGACTATCAGATGGAATTGTTTTAGGGCGACCTCTAAATTGGAATATGATTTCATTCTGACTTTTTTCTTTTTTTTAAAGACAGGGTCTCATTGCTTTGTAGACCAGGCTAGCCTTGAACTCACAAAGATCTGTTTGCCTTTGCCTCCCCAGTGCTGAGATTAATTTTGTGTGCCACCACACCCTGATTTAATTTAATCACTGAGTATGGTGGCTCTTTTGTTTAATCTCTCATCTTGAGAGACTGAAGCAGAAGAAATACCTTGAATTTGGGACCAGGCTGGGCTACAGAATGAGAGCTGGTTTCAAAGAAGAATCTATTTGTCCTGATACTGGAAGCACTTGCAAAGAAGGCAAGAACCAGAAATGTGGCCCAGTTGGTAAAGTGCTTGTCTAGCACGTACAAGGCCCAGGTTCAAACCTCAGTACCACATAAAGTGGTATATGAAGTGCCAAATAATCCCAACACTTGGGAGATGGAAGTAAGAGGGTCTGAAGTTCAAAGTCATTCTCAGTTAACGTAGCCTGGGCAGCATAAGACCTATCTCAGAACAAACAAAAGAGCATTTTAACCAGTGCCTTTAGAGTCTTTTGTGGTGATGTATTATTTATGATTTATTAAAGCTTGCCTGCAGATTCAGAAAGAAAAGTCAGCCAAAAGCCATAGAAGTCAGGCACACACCTTTAATCCTAGCAGACAGAAGCTAGGAGGTGGTGGTACACACTTTTAAACTTAGGACTCAGGATTAAGAGATAGATGGATCTCTGTGAGTCCAAGGCCACCCAGATCTACACATTGATACAACTCGCACAAAAGTGATCTCAGCACAAATCTTGAATCCCTTCGTTAGGGAGGTATATAAAACAGGAGCAAGCTCTTAGTATCAAGCATTCATTCTCCAGTCACATTGAGGATACAGTCTCAGAATTCTCCAGCCACGCTGAGAGGTAGCAGGATCAGCTAATTCCACCTGAGGTAGGTGGTAAGAGCTAGTGGCCTGCTGCTTTACTATTCTGACCTTCAGCTTGAAGTTCTAACCCCAATATCAGTCTCTGAGTCTTGTACTTTCCCTATTACAGTCCTTATCCCCAAGCACATCCTGTTCTGAAGTATTGGGTGCTAAAGGTACAGCATATTAATTAATTTTAGGAAGATATAAATAAAGCCTGTGTCAGCAACATATTCCTTCTTGTTTGTTCTTCCAAAACCATAAATTATGGTGACAAACTGCAGAACTCCCTCTGAATGGTGTTCTTTGAATTTCTGTCTGCAACCCTTGGCAAATGGGTTTTCAAATTGAAGGTCTTCTAAACTGGCACTTAGTGTTACTTTAAAAGCATATAGTCTGATTGGTCCCATTATATGTTTGTGCTCTTAGGAAGATGAGCAGGTGCACTCATTCCTTCTGATCCATTTGAATTTGTGGTGTCACTGTTTCTCAGCAAATGTTAACTGACTGCATTTCCTTCATAAGGAGGAGACCAATCAAGTTCCTGTTGATCAGCTGGGCCAGAGACTCTTGAAAAAGACAGGGATATCTTGGAACAAGAAGTTCAGAAAACAGCATGGACCACTACGAAAGGTATTGCTGGCATTGACATGGGCAGTCCTCATCCCAAAGCCAGATCCAATTACAAGGTGCTTTGTAGTTTAAAAGTAGATTCAGTCATTTACCGTTTTATCCTATCAGTCCTATACCTCCCTCCCTTTTTTAATCTTTCCAGAAAGAAATTCCTTAATCTAACCTCCTTACACAATTTGCAACCAACCCCTCTAAATGATTATTAACATCCAAAACCTACTGACCAACCAAAAACCACCCACCTCTTGGGAATATGGATGTCATGTTCTTAAAATTACTTCCTGTTGTCTGGGGTTATGGCAGCTTTAGGATTGAGACCCTGAGAAATTGAGATATACCATTCAAGTCCTTCGAGAGCTAGCTCTTTTCCAATCTAGGTGTGATGGGACAGTGCAGAGCTTATTTGAAGTCCTGGCTGGAGTAGTCTATGCGGCTAGACCATAGAGTAGTCTATGAAGCTTTGAAGTTGTCCTGAGCAGTTTGTTGTCCAAAGATGATTTTGGGGTGATGTTTGTCAGGTTAATGGTATTATCACAATCCAGGTAGCTTTGTCATTGCAGGGCTCCATCATCTTGGAGACCTCAAAGATCACTGCCAGGAATGGTCATGGTTTACTGCAGAAAACTTAAACATTTTAAATGTCATATGCAGCATATCTCCAACAGGTTAAAGGACCACAATATTTTAAGTAGATTGGAAGTACACAAACTTAATTCCTAGTTACTTGCTTCAGACTCAAGCCCAAAACCACACACAGAAAGCTAAATGAAGCCTATTTCTAGAAATAGTACTCTATATGACCATTAATATCATGACAGAAAACTTTAAGTATATATAATAATCGTATAAATTTTGAGATAATATTTATACTTTAAGAAAAGTTTTAAAGAGTCAAAATAAAACTAAAGAAAAGTTTTAAAGAGTCAAAAAACCAAAGGATTATGAGAGTAGTGGTAACAGAATAATCCCTTAAGATGTTGCATTTATCTAAGTTATTCTGATACCAGTAAAAACTTGGTACTCAAATATTAGGGTAAAAAAAAAAACCTGATAAATCCCGAGAGCAGTGAAGGAACTATAGGCTGACTCTAACTTTCCACACTTCACAAATGGAAAAGGCTGCAAATCTCTCTAAGCCCCTCCCTATATCTTCCTGTGCCACCCTCTCTGGGTCCTCCCAAACCTCTGTGTCTAATTCTGGTCAGCCAATTGCTGACTCCACCCTCTGATTCAAGGTAAATTTTATTGGCAGTCAAGGAATGTCAGTGCAAACAAATACCCTTCAACAGTGGTTTCCTTTCTTCCTCTAGTTAAGCCCTACTTCGATTTCTTATTGCATATATCCTTTGCCATTTCTGTTTCCCACTGCCTTTAAAATCTCTTGCTCCTTGCTCATGATCACGTATAAATATGTATATAAATACATGCCATATTAGTATATGGATATCTCTAAATACATGTGTTTAAATCTAGGTTCCACATATGAAAGGAAGTGTGGATGGAGGCTTCTGTCTTGCCTGATCCCACAGCCATTTAGTCCCAAGTAAACACACAAAGGTTTATATTAATTATAAACTGTTTGGCTGATGGTTCAGGCTTCTTATTGGCTAGCTCTCTCTTGGGGAGAGGAGGCAGAGAGAGGCCATTGGAGAGACACCATGTAGCTACTGGGAAGATAGGATTTCAGCATTCTCTGGTAAGCCAAGACCACAGGGTAATACTCAGATTAATAGAAATGGGTTAATACTTAAGAGAGAGCTAGCCAATATGTTATCTGTCTTCCTAAGATAAAACTTACTTTGCTTAACGTAAATATTTATAGTTATATTCATTTTCCTCCATTTTTCCTTATGGATAAATAAAATTTCATTGTATACATGTGCCATATTTTCTGTTCATCTCCTGACAAACATCATCTACTTTCTTTCCCTTGGCTATTGTGAATAGTGCAGCAATAAACATAGATGGGCAAGTGGTGTGTTAGAGTCCTTTCAGTGTATGCTCAGGGTTGACATAGCTGAGTCATACAGTAATTCTGTTTTTTTGTTTGTTTTGTTTTTTTGAGGAACATCCATACTTATTTCCATAGTTGGCTGTAAATGCTTACTTCCACCTCTTCCCCAAGATCCTCTCCACCATTTGTTGTCATTTATTTTCTTAATGACAGCCATTCTGACTGGGGTAAGATGGAATCGAAGTGGTTTTCATTTGCATTTCTCTGGTTTCTTAAGGATGTTGATTACTTTTTAAAGCTTTTATTTTTATTGGTCATTTGTACTTTTTCTAGTGAGCACTTTCTGTTCATTTCGTCAGATCATTTATTGATTGGGTGATTTGGTTTTTACTTTTTGCTGTTCTTTCTACATGCTCAATATTAATCCCGTCTGACTTGTAGTTGGCAAAGGTATTTTTTTCCTTTAGACTTTTTCACTTTGATTGATTCTCCTTGTTTTGTGGGAACTGTTTACTTGAAAACACTTCAACATACAGGTGTGGACAAGAGTTTTCTGAGAACTCCAGGAACACAGGAATCAATCCCAAGAATCAGCAAATGTGAATCTGTAGAATTAGATGGCTTCTGAATAGTTCAGAAATGTTTGTTTTTCCCAGTCTCCTTCATTGAAGCACTTGTTAAAACAGCAGTAGTGATGTATTATTCAAGTGGCTTGTCGCCATACCCAGATGAGTGTTTCCCTCCTCACAAGGCTAGTGAAAAGAAAGATGAAGTTAGATAGAAATATATAAACACACACACACACACACACACACACACACACACACACACACACACACAAATTGTCTTATCTAGTTAAAAACCATTTTTATTAAAAAAATTTTTAATAGGCCTAATCTGTTTGTTTGTTTGTTTGTTTGTTCTGAATAGTTCTTACAGCTCCATCCTCAGATGTTTCTGCTCAGCACAGATGAAAGTACAGTTAGTCTCCTGAGGAACCGTTTTACCCAGGCCTCATCTGATTTCCAAAGGCACCGGGAACAGATTCTACATACACTTGCTTCAGAACCCCCAGGGTTAAGTGATAGCACCAGCTGCCCCCACTGGTTTGATATCAATGATTCCAAAGTCCAGCCAATCAAAGAGAAAGCTATCACACAGCAGTTCCAGGGTAAAGAAAGTGCCTACATGCTGTTTTATCGGAAAGCCAAGCTGCAGAGGCCCTCTGAAGGTACGAGAGAGAAGTGTTCTAATTTGTCTTGTTAGTAACTCCAGCAGGTAAGCTTCCAGTGCTGCCTGAAGTTGTGTCTTTTGAAGAGGTGGTTTTGCCTGGATATCTTTACATATTTTAAAACTAATACTAGCAAGTCTGTTGTGCCAAATGAAATCTATCAGCTTGTCGTTTAAGTTTTCCTTACGTGGGTATTTCTTTAAGCAGGAAATCATACTTTATTTTCCAGTTTGTCATTTTATGAGAAAATGTCTGACATTTTTCTTCCCTCAGTCATAGTTACATTTTCCAAAATTGAATTTTCTTGGATGTTGTATGTTGTTACTGTGGTGGCAAACTTAAGTGCAGTTCTTCAGTTTTTATTCTCGGCTCTGTCATTCAGCCATGTGTTGCCTTTGAGTTGTAAGTGGTCTTGTTTTCTTATTTTCCTTTTTGTATTTCTCTTTTTTTTTCTCGAAGTATTAATGTTCTTGAGCAGTTGAAATGTATTTGAAGCTCTCTGTTCAGCCTTCTGAGAGAGTTCCTACCTTGAAGTTAACCATGGTAAAGTTTACTATTACCATGAGTAAATCAATAAGATGGTTTGATCCCTTGCCAGAATTCTCTCAAAAGTAAAGAGCTATTGAATGTGGTGGTTTATTCCTTTAATCCCAGGACTTGAAAGGCAGAGGCAGGAAGATCTTTGTGTGAGTTCAAGGCTAGCCTGATTTCATAGCAAATTTCTGGCCAGCCAGGGTTATTTAGTGCAACCCTGTTTCAAAAAAGAAAGAAAAGAAAAATCTTCTTAAATTGGCAGAGCTATGATTAGTAGTTAGTTAATGTTGTTAGAAAATGGGAATAGCGATCCTTTTTATAAAGAAAAAAGTTATTAATTTGTATGAGAATTAAAAATTAACTTTCTAAATCTTGAATATTCATGACAACTGCTAACCACACAAAGGTTTTGTCTTTCAAAGAAGGAAAAGGAGATCCCAACCTAATGGCATAGACCTATAATCCCAACTACTCAGAAAGTGAGGCAGAAGGATTGCAGTGCAAGGCCTGACTGGGTGATAGAATGACTTTAAAGCCAGCCTGGGCAACCTAGTAACTATTCAGCCTAGTGAACTGCAAATCAACTGGAGCAAGAGGAAAGGTCGGTGTAGTGGATGAATACTTAATGCTTAAAAGTGTTTGTTGCTGTCATTAGCTTTATAATCATGACTAGTTAGAAATCACCTTTGTATCTGTCTTAATTAGGTTTTATTGCTGTGACAAGGCACCATGACCACAGCAACTCTCATCAAGGAAAGCATTTAATTGGGGCTTGCTTACAGTTCAGAGGTTTAGTCTATTATCATCATGGTGGAAAGCATGGTGTCATGCAGGCAGACATGGTGTTAAAGAAGGGAGCTGAGAGTTCTGCATTCAGATAGGCAGGCAGCAGGAAGAGAGAGTGACACTGGGCCTGACCTCAAAATCCAACCTAATATACCATTCCCTGATGATCAAGCATTCAAATCTATGAGTCTGTGGGAGCCATTCTTACTCAAACTATCACAGTATTTAACAAAAAAAGGTTAGGGTCTGGAGAGATGGCTTAGTGGTTAAGATCACTGATTGCTTTTCAGAGGATCTGGGTTTTGATTCCCAGAACCCACATAATGACTCACAACTGTCTGCAACTTCAGTTCTAGGGAGTCTAATACCTCTTCTGGCCTCCAGGGGCATAAGGCACACATACAGACAAAAACAACTCATGCACATTAAGTAAATAGTTTTTCAAAATAAGGAAAAATTAAATTAGACTGATTATACTATTTCTTAAGTATATTATTGTGCAATCACATAGTTAAGCCTGTGGGAATATGAAGTGAAAAAGCAAACTACCAGTTTGGTGACTACATCTTAGTTTTTATAAAATGTATGTAAGTGAGTGTGACTACAGGTAGTACCCTGATATACTTTGAAAATAATTTTCATGGTGACTTAACATATAACCCCAGCACTTGGGAGGCTCAGGCAAGAATATTGTAGTGAGCTCAAGACCAACCCAAGGTATATAGTTTCAGGCCAGCCCAGGCTATAGTGGGACCTGCTACCAAAAACACAAAATGACCAAAAAAAAAAAAGTGTGATTTCTGGAGTTTAAAAAGATTTATCTATTTTAAGTGTATGAGTGTTTTGCCATACACACACACACACACACACACACACACACACACACACACACACCATGTGTGGTGTGCCTGGGTACCCTGAGAGGCCAGAAGAGGGCATTGGATCCCCTAGAACTTGAGTTACAGAGGGTAGTTAGACACTGTATGGGTTGAAAACCAAAACTGGGTCTGCTGGAAGAGCAACCAGTTAAGAGCAGCTCTTAACTGCTGAGCCACCTCCAGCCCTAATTTCTGAGTTTTTACAGTAACCAACTGTTAAATTTATAATAGGGACAGAAGTAGTGGGTGTTCTTTAAACAATGCTCAAAGAGAATTGAAATAATGGGATTCTTCTAGATCAACTTTTTTTAAAAAAAAGAAATTCTCATTTTCCTTTTTTTTTTTTTTTTTTTTCTGCTCATCCAGCAAAACTCAGATCAAGAGAAAAATCTCTTTCGCTTAGCTAGTCAATGATAGTGCTCCTGGTTTACAGCACAGTGGATTTATGTTCACATGTACATGCAGGTATCTGAGGGCATCAGACCCCTGGAATTACAGACAGCTGTAGCTGACTAAAGTGATCAAAACCAAACCCCAGTCCTACACAAAATCATCAAGCACACCTAACCTCTGAGCCATCTCTTTAGCCCCTCATATTTATTTGTGAAAATGGCTTTTCATTGTATCCCAGGTTGGCCTCCAACTCAAGATCCTTGTGCCTCAGCTTTCCCAGTGTTGGGATTACAGGTGTATATTATCACACCTGACTTCAGATTTTCATCCTGCCTCTTTAGCAACCCAATTTTGTTTAGCCAAAACAAATTAATGGAAAGTTTTGTTCACAGCTCGAGCCAATCCAAGATACAAGGTTCCATGTCATTTGCTGAAAGAAATGGATGCAGCCAACATTCAATTGCAAATGAGAAGGTAGTTTGAATACATTTAGTGTTTGGATAATGTTTCTGGAAAATACTGATCAGTTTGGTACATAAGCACTCAATATCAAAGTTTACTAGAATATGTATACCTATCAACTAGTTATAGTAAAGACACTATTTACCCATATGTAATAAGTAATAACATACAGTAACCATTGCTAAGTAAGGATCAGAGCCTAAGAAGTCTAGAGAAATTCACAAGCATGCAGTTGTGCTACAAGAATTGTGCTCTGGCCTAGCCAAATTATTCCCTCAGTTTTAAGTAGTTGTAAGAACTAATATATATAGTGGCAAAAGACTAGAGGTGGGTTGATTGCAAAGGAGTGTAGTGTCAGTCTAGGGGGGGAGGGTGGGGACTGTAATGGCTGGGCTGGAGTGGTGGCTCAGTGGTTAAGAGCACTGGCTACTCTTCCAGAGGTCCCTTGTTTAGTTCCCAATACCCACACTGTACACACAATTGTCTGTAACTCCTGTTCTATGAGATCTGTGCTTTCTTCTGGCCTCTGAAGGTACTACACACACACATGGCCAAGCATGTACATATATTATATACACACACACACACACACACACACACACACACACACACACACACACACTTATCTCGCGCACACACTCATGTGTTAGTGTATTACATGTAGGCAAAATACTCAAAATAAAAATGAAGGTTTAAGATAACTGAAGGCATGACTTTCAAACATAGCTAACCTTGGGCTCTGGAGACTGTTCTTCCGTGGGAGGGAGGGTGTTTCTATGATCCTCTTAGGTGTTGAAGGGGCAGATAATGTAGTAGGCTGTGTTCAGAAATTTTATCATGGATTTGTAACTGGGAGTGAAAATAGCAGATCCAGTGAGTGACACACCAAGATCAATGGAATTTTGAATAAAAGCTAAAACATTGAAATATGTTAAATGCAAAAAAAAAAAAACCTGCATTAGTGACCTAGGTTAGCAGTTGCAACTTAAGTAATTAAAATAAAACAGTGAGATAATTAAAAACAAAACAGCGAATGCCAAAACTAAAGTCCTTAATGGGCCATTGAAAAACTTCGTATTCCTGTTGACCAGTTTAGAATGCATCTAAAGTACTGAGTCTTGGTGCCAGGCTTTGAGTCAACTGAGTGCAGACCGAGAGGAGCAGGAAACAGCCTGTCACTCGGGATTTCAGCCTGGAAACAAACGCTGGGAAAGATCTCCTATCAGCTGTCAGCATCTTCTGGGAAAGCCTCAGAAGCCTAGTGGAAGTTGTAGGCACCAGCATTCTGCCCATGGTTGTTAAAGGACTGGAGATGGCTAACAGTGTGCAGTCTCCATGAGAACAATTCTCTTACAATGTATGGTGCAGTTTCAGCTGAAAGTGTGCTGTGTGTTGAAAAGTCAAAACAAATCATTTTGGTGGGCAGAAGAAAAAAATGTTACTAAATTAGAGTGGAGAACTTGCTTATATGGTAAAGCAAGTATTTTTGGTTTGAAGATAGTGTTACAAAAACATAGCATCTATGTGTTTTCAATGTCTCTAAAGGGCAGAATGTGACTCTGCAAACAATAATTTTGAATTGCATCTCCATCTGGGTCCTCACTACCGTTTCTTCAATGGGGCTCTTCACCCTGCAGTCTCTCAAACAGAGAGTATGTGGGATTTAACCTTTGATAAAAGAAAAACTTTAGGAGATCTCCGTCAGTCAATATTTCAGGTAATTCTTATTTTTTTCTCTTAACGGAAACATTAAGGTCCATTTCAGGCTGACTTTTTTCCACTTCATTTTATTCAAGTTACAACTTTTCCAAACCTCCATAGGAAAATTCTACCTCTGCCAGTGCATAGCAGAATAAACCAAACCTTCTCTTACTTGGAAGTGTCTGGGGTTTTGTTGTTGTTCTTTGGTTGAGTGGTTGGTTTGATTTGTTTTTATATAGCCCAGGGTGGACTTGAAACCACAATCCTCCCACATCAGCCCCCTAAGTATTGGTACCACAGGTTTGTACCACTATTGCTGGTATTTGTAAGTCTTCAGAAATGCTTCTCTGTGTATTTTCTTATCAGCTTGTGAAGTAACTAATTGAACCTAATAGATGAGCCTCTACTTTTGGAAAACAAATAAAAGAATATTGCTTTTCAAAAGAAATGAGAGGAAAGGTTGAGCCTAATACTTAAAACAAGGGCCACTGAAAAAAAATGAAGATAACTAGTTTTGTATTCTCTGGCATTAGATCGCTTAACTGGTGTAACATTCTAGGCAAGCCCTAAATGGATCCTTTTGTTTGATATTTAGCTCTTGTTTCTACATGTTTTTGAGATGGTGGCACTCAGCCCATATTGGCCTCAGTCTCACAGTAGTTCTCCTGCCTCAGCCTCCTGAGTGTTAGATTTACAGATGTGACTTACCAGACAGGGATTTTCATCTAGTGTTCATCTCCAGATCGTTTATTTGCCTGTGTTTCAGTCATATGACAGTGGAGATGCTCCTCACTTTTACTCGCAATGCTTTCATAAACATCATTTCATTTGGCTTTTCAGCCTCACCAGGGCAAGCCAGCTCCATTCTGAAGATAAAAAAATCATATCTTAGAGTATCCAATGTTGACATGCACAGGTACCTAGTTGCTATGGTAGTGCTAGGTCCTCAGCCTGGATCTCCCCTTCTTCTACCTGGTTTCCTGACCCTTAGCCTCACTTCCTCACCCCATACTCCTTCCTAATGAAAGGATTTAGAAATGTAAACGCTTGCCAGGCTTAGTAGCAGGTGTCTATAGTCCCAGCATTTTCAAGGTGCAGGCAGGAAGATCAGTTCAAGGTCAGCCTCACTACACATCAACTTTGAGACTATCTCAGAAAGGAGAAGGAAAAAGAAGAAAATGAAAATTTGTGCAAGGGTGCCCAGAAATGGTTTAAATGAATTCTTTAAAACTTTGTATCTACCACAAAAATTGCCAGCCCTTTCTTTTTCTTTTCTATGAAAAGCAAACTAGTATCTTTTTTACTTGAGTTGGTTTACATGTAGTGTTACATGCTGCTTCAGTAGCAGGCTCCTTAGAATCCTTGATATATCTAAAGTTCTGCAGTAAAGTTCATTTCTGAGTCATTTCTGGCAGAGTTAATGTGGAGGGCTTTTCAAATTGAAAAGGACTGACTTGTCTCTTAAGTATTCTGCTCTCTTTTCTCTGCTGTCTTCAGTCTGTAATGGATGCAGTCAACATCCTTGGGTTTGAGTAATTTATCAAATGATGTTTATTTCTAAAATGCTGGTGTTGGTCAACAACGGGAATGTTCATTTGCTGTTCCTTCTGAGTCAGGACTTGTGCTGCTCACATGTTGGAACTCACTGTTTTCCCACTCTTACTATTCTTTAGCTATTGGAATTTTGGGAAGGAGACATGGTTCTGAGTGTTGCAAAGCGTGTGCCAGCAGGACTTCATGTCTACCATACCCTCGATGGTAAGATGAGTAAGGAACACAGCAACTCATTAACGCATTTTATGTGTGTATCTTAGGGAAACTTATCTGTGATTTTCTTTGTCAGTCCTTCCTCTGCCTCCTACCTTCTTTTTAAAATTGCATCTCTCTTTCTCTCTCTGTGTGTCTGTCTCTGTCTCTTTTCCACAAATGATTAAGCAAAATGGTTTAAAACCATTAAAATTTTATTTATGTGGCTTCACTTTGCCTACTTAGCTTCAGATTTTGTAGCAGACGAATCAAGTCTTGAGAGTTTAAAGGCACTTATTTCTCTGAAATAACAACAAAACAATGATGAGAACAGTAGTGCAGTAATGTACATTTCGGACTCTGCCAAATATTGTGACAACCAACCTCTGCAACAGTTTGGTGGTGATCTGGTCTGTTTGGAGTCCATGCCTACTCCTGGGTGGCATGGGCCTGACTATTAACCTCTGTGTACCCTCCTGTCCTGCTGCTTTGCTCACAAAACCATATAATGGTCCAGATAATTGCAATATGAAATACTATAAATAATAAAATAATTACTGCTTCTTATGATTTTTCTTAATACCTGCCTTTTCAAAAACACATTGAAGAGTTACAGTTCTCTCTTTAGCTTAGCTGCATTTGGTAGTCATGGGGAATGAATTGACAATCTCATCATTCTAGGAGATGAGCTGACACTGTGTGAAGCTGAAATTGCTGATGGGGAAGACATCTTTGTATGGAATGGGGTAGAGGTAAGAAAAATGGCTGAAGATATATTCATGATAATTTAGGGTTTTGAAAATTTTGTTGCAGGGCTTGGGGTATAGCCTGGTTGGTACAGTGCTTGCTTAGCATAAACAAAGCCTTGGACCCAGCCCAGTCCCTAGCACTACATAATACCAAGTATGATGGTGACACACACTCATAATCTCAGTACTCAGGAAGTAGAGGCAAGATCAAAGTAAGTTCAAAGCCAACCTGGGCAACATAAGACTATGTGTTACGATAAATCTTTTTGCCAAAAGCCACCGAGCCCCACCGCCACATGTGCGCTTTACACCAGCCGCCCGCCCGAGTTAGGGCCCAAATTAATGCACAGAGAGACTTGTATTAGGTTCAAATGCTGCTTGACCAATGACTAGGATTTTCATCTGCTAGCTTAGTCTTAATTATCATAAGCCTATATATTTTATAAGACTTATCTTATCAGACGCCTTATTGGTGTCCCTCCTTGCCGGTGGATTACATCCTGCCGCTGGAGGTGGAGCAGAGGGGAAAAGAGGGACGCTTCCTGTTTCCTTGCTAAATGAGAGTTTCCTTGTTATGTCACTTCCTGCCTGGATCACCACTTCTCTACTACAATTCCCAGAATCCTCTTTGACTCCTAGTCCCATCTAACTTGCTGTTTCATTGGCCAAACAGAACTTTATTAAACAATCAATAAGATAAACATACACAGAAGTACTTCCCCATCATCTATGTCTCATCCCCCATCCCCCCCCAAAAAAAAACCAAAAAAGTCATTATAAAACTTTATTCAGCATGTAGCTAGCCATTAGAAAATGATTATAATAAACTGGATATGATGAAATGTGATCCCAGAACCAGGGGAGCCTGAGACAGAAGAAATGATTGAGTTGAAGGGCAGCCTAAACTACATAGTGAGTTCCAGGCCAGCCTAAGATATGAATCTCAGAAACAAAAAGGAGGTGCAGGAGACAGGGGAGGCAAGACTGCTGGAGGTCCAGTCAGTCGTAGTTGTTAGAGTCAAATATTTTGATGGCAGAGGAGATTGTTCCATAGGTAAAGTGCTTGAAGACCTGAGTTAGATCCCCTGAACCTATATAAAAAAGCCAAGTATGGTGAGATGCTCTTGTAATCCCAGCACTGGGGAGGTAGAAATGGGCATTTTTACTGGGGCTGCTGGCTAGCCAGCTTAGCCTATTTGATGACTTCTAGGGCAATGAGAGACCTTATCTCAAAAAAGAAAAGAAAGAAAAAGGACACCCAAGATTGTCATCTTGGCCTCACACACATATGCGTATTTGTATGTGTTCATGCACACCTGTACACACAAATGCACACATATAACAGTAAATATTGAGTGCCTCCATTTTACCAGACTGTATGTCACATGCTAGATGTGTAGAGGTAGGTTAGTCCTCAGTGGCCTTCTTGTGTAAATAACTGTACGATAGGCTATAGGGGGTGTGTGACAGCTGTAGGGATAGGCAGGGGTGAGGCCAGCACTGTTGAGGTAGGTATAAAGAGGAGTGAAAACTCTATTAGAAAGGAATGAGGAACATCTCAGCTGCACTATGGCCTGTCCTTGTCCTCTTAAGTTTCCAGGGGCTCATCGCCACCATTTGACAACTCATAAATCTTTACTGCAGGTCAGAAAAGATGGATAAGAGAAATTTTTAACATAAAATCCAAGGTTCTTTCAGTACTTAAAAGACAGTATGAAAAAAACTATTTCAGTTGGAAAGAATGTGGGTTGTGCTACAAGAACAGGCTTTTGCTGTGGTAGGGTGTTTTTCACTAGTGATTGTGTTAATGTTGCAGGTTGGTGGAGTCCAGATTCAGACTGGTTCTGATTGTGAGCCTCTGCTGTTACACATTCTTCATCTGGAAATGAGTGGTGAAGGCTCAAAATGTGAGCAGCTGGTGGAGTCCCAACATGTCTTTCCAGCTAATGCAGAAGTGGGCACTGTATTCACAGCCTTAGCCATCCCAGTAGGCATCATCCTCACAAACTGTGGGGAGTCTGCAGATGATGAGTGTTGGAGTGCTATTCCTAAGGAAGACATGAAGAAGACGTTCAGAGAACAAGGTCTCAGAAATGGAAGCTTAATTTTGGTTCAGGATTCAGACAGTGATGATAACAGGTAACTCACTGAAAAGAGAAAGGGGAGAACTTCCTTCTTTTCTTTTTATTCTATGTGTCTTTTACAAAATGTATCTAGATCCCCTTCATTTCCCCATCCCTTCATATCTGCCCTCTGCCCCTCTACCACCACCCCCCAAAAATAAAACAAAATTTAAGAAAAAAAAGGGGGAGATTGAAAAATCTCATCATGGAAGCTACAGTGAGTCACACAGTAAACCCTTTGTCCATATACCTTTACTTGCAAGTATTCATTGCAAAGAGTCATTGGTCTGGTTTGAGGTCTCTAGCTTCTACTACAGTATTGATGCTAGGCCCTCACTGAAACTCTTCTTGGATATTCTGTTGTTGCCTGTGTTTTGAAGATCTTGCAGCTTTGGGTCTGTGGGTCAACTTCCATCATTTGCTCCAGCAAATTACAGATGGGGTTGATGTTGGGCAATCTAACTCATAATCCTGGTTCTGGGCCTGGGCAGCTGCACAGTTGGTCCACCCACCAACTTGATAGGCAAAATCCTATTAAGTGAATTCTGATTGAGTTATAAAACTAACAGCCCATTCTCATAAGGAAAACAAGATTCATAGTACAATTGAGGCTTTCCTTGTGGTCTTCTCCATGACTTTCAGGAGCTACTTAGCTTTCCCAAAGGGACAGTTGCCTGTAATAATGCCCCTGAATCCTGTAGCCATATTTGAAACTCGGAAACACTGCACCCCCTTGTTCCCATGTATCAGTGCAGTTCTGTAGTCAGTGTGAGATGCTGAGAAGCAGAACCCAGTGGCTTTTGTGGTGCGTTTATCTCTGTTACCTCCAGAAGTGTTCCACTTCTCTGCCTCATTTATAGGAGAGTGAATCATGTGCTCTTTATAAAAGACAGTCATCATTTAGTAGGACTTGGGAGATGAAGCAAGAACACTGGAGATCCTGGCCCTCTGTTGACCATGCAATTTTGGTCACTGTTAGTGTCTGGTGGCTTTCCTTTTCTTCTAAATTGAAATCATTTTTGAGAAGGTTTTTATCTTTTTAAGCATACTAATAATTATCTTTTTGATACATAGCTGTGTCTTGCTTTTCCCACATGTGTTTGTAGACTCTGTAAGCCTCATTTGAAGGCTTCCTCCTACTGAATGTGCATCACCATTTGCCCAACTGTTCCTGAGTGAGGTGGTATGACCCAGTAGTAAGGACAAGTACTCAGCCAGCTGCCTGGATTGTGTCCCAGTTTGCCATGTGACCAACAATGTGAGCTTAGACAAGTTATCTCACCTCTCTGCACAGTTTCTTCTATAAGATGAGGTGATAACTAGTACCCACTTGGAGTGTAAGGACTGAAAAGTTAAGTGGTCACACATAGCAAGTGCTAAGTGTGGTGACATCTTTGCCATCATCATTTTCTGGTTGTCCACTACTGTAAGGTAGTCTTCAGAAAACATAAGGCTTTATCTTCTGAGGGTGGAATATTAGAATACAATAACTGAAATAATGAGTAGAAATGTGTTTGGGGTGATAAAGTACCATGGCCAAGGAAACTTATAAAAAAAAAAAAGTGCTTGGTTTGAGGCTCATGGTTCTGGAGAGTTAGTCTATGACCAGCAAGGCAGGCGGGCAGGCATGACCCTGGAGCAGCTGCTGAGAGTTTACAGTCTTATCCACAAGGGGCAGAGAGAGAGACTGGAATTGTGTGGGCTTTACAATCTCAAACCTGTCCCCAATGACACACCTCTAACAAAGCCACATTTCCCAGTCCTTCCCAAACATTTCCACCTATAGGGGCCATTCTCATTCAAACCATTACATTCCCCCAAAGGCCTTCTGCTAGCCCTTATTTTTCTTCCATCCATAGGAAGATTTTATTAGGGTAAGATTCTTTACTACCAGTTGCTAACATTAAAAGCAAAATTCACTGGGCAGTGGTAGTGTAGCACAAGTACTTAGGAGGCAGAAACAGGAGGATCTCTGAGCTTGAGGCCAGGCTAGTCTATAGAGTAAGTTCCAGGACAGCCAGGACTACTGAGAAAAACTGTCTCAAAAAACTCTTCAATGAAATACAGATATATGATGCTTATGATTACATATGTATGACACTTTTGTTGCACTGTAGGTCTACACATGTGTACACAGCTGTTCTGCTGTTAAATCCAGATCCAATGGACAGGCTTTAATAATCTTCCAAAGCCACCTTAGTGATTCCTGTGCAGGTAGACAACAGTTAACCATTCCTTTATAAAAGTATCCCTTTAAGCTAAGTATAGTAGTACATGTCTGTCATCCCAGCACTTGGGAGTTTTAGGCCAGTCTTGGCTACATGGTGAGTTAAAGGCCATCCTGGGCTGTATAAGACTATCTCAAAAAAAAAAAATCCTCTTGAAAACAAGCACAAATCATTTAACTTTGGACTAGAATCATGAAAAACAACTCTGTAGAGTACTGCCTCACATTACCCTAAAAAGGCAGCTGATGTTGTGGCAGCAAGTCAGTAGAATGTGGTCCCCTTTCCTTAGGCACTCTGAGAGATACATGGCCGAGTTTAGAAGTGATGCCCAAGGAAAGTGTTTTGTTAAGGACTCACTTTTTCAATATCGTCCTCCTTTTACTTACAGTCTGTTGCCCAGACAAGGGAGATGGACCTCCAGTGTGGATGAACTGAACTGGCTCCAAGTGAAAAACTTCTGCAAATTAGAATCTGAAGAGGAGCAAGTTCAGATAGCTGCAACCAAGCACACAGTGAGTACATGGTCGTTAGCCTGGCTGGCAGTGTCTGGTGACAGAAATTATATTTATAAAATAGTCAGGCTTTCAGAACAGCTGTGTCAATAGACATCTTAAGTCTTACTACCTTTATTACTGCTTATTTACTTATATCTACCAGTTTCGAAGCACTGTTTCAAAGTACTGTATGCTCTTTTAAACTCCAAAGCCTAGAAGTCAACTGGAATGTGTGACTCCCTTTGGTGGCACATGGAGTCCTCTGGATTTGACAAATACAAAGAGCTGTTGTCAAGGATCTTCTCTGCATTGTTTAAGGCATATATTTGTGTGTGTAAATATTATTTTGGTTTTTGTGTTGTCAAGTTTTCATTTTTATCCTAAATTACTCTATATATACACACTGTGTCCTACATAAAATCAGCTGCCCTTAAA